CGATTTCTTTGGTTTTATCCCTTGAAGGCTAAATTTACTTTTATAATGTCCCTATAAGTTTTTCTAATACTTATTCAAACTCAATTATTTTTCAAGGTTAAAACTTTTCAAAGCAATTAGATATCGAGTTTTTTAACCAGTGCATTCATCAAATACTTATGGACATGACATTCATCATTGTATTTCTTGTACTTACACTATGCAACAAAATGGTACGATCGAATTTAAATAAGGTGATATAATCCACTCTAGTCTTTATATGTTTTTTAATGCATATGCACATGCCACTCTTTGGGTTGATGTCTTAGATCGATTGTTTATATCATAAATCACCTAGCTTAAAATATTTTACGTCATGGTTTCTTTTAAATTAATCTTTGTGATAACATCGAACTATGACGTGGTTTGCATTTTAGGATGTCATGGTATTCCCTGTTACGAGATTATTCATCACAGAAGTTAGGTACTCATAATATTCTTACATTTATTTGTTATAGCTTAACACCCAATGCAAATTCTATTATTTTCTAGACCTGACCACAAACCACAACTATACTACACGTCATGTCCAATTTGATGATCAAACTTTTCCTTATTTCAATAAACTACCTCCTGTTATCTTGCATATCTTGAGTTCATAAACTTTGAAGAACCATCTGCTCGCCTACCATTTTCTACTACCAAAATCTGGCTTATCTCTTGTGACTACTTCCCACATGACATGTAACACCCATTTTTCGAGATGCCCTTTTTGTAGTGTAAAATGATGAATTTCAAAATCCCGATGCTACGTTGAGTGTAAGAAAGCTACATTGAGTGTATGGCTACACAAAGATTAAGAAATCTACGTTGAGCGTAGGTATGTCTGCGCTAAGCGTAGAGCTGTTGTTTTCACAAAACTCTTTAAGCATCTCTAAATTTTAGGGTTTCTAAGGATCAACCTCTTACTTCTAAATAATGAAGCCCTAGCCTCCATTTCCTTCTCCTCCTTCCTTTTTCTTGTTATGGGTGTCATTTGAGAGTGTTCAAGGAAGTTCATCATTCTTTGGATATTTAGTGAGTGTTTCATAAGAGATCCAACTTCTTGTGCATCTTGAGGACCTTTGGAAGTCATCAAGCTCCAAAATTTATGATTAAAGCCTTATAGATCTTTCATTTTATGGTCTTTGGGTACCTTTTTTAGGTTTTGGTTGGATTTCAAGGAAGAAATCTGGATAAAGCTTGCAACTTTATCATTCTTGAATGTCCTTGGAGTGTTCTATCATTTGGATATGGAGTTTGGACTTGTTTTGGTGTCATGTATGGGTTTAAGGTCATACTTTCACCATTTTTTACCTAGAAGGGTGTAGGACATGTATGGGGCTTACATGTCCATAGAGGTTCGTTTATTATGAGTCATTTTTAGTATAATGGACTTATGTAAAGTTTGAGATAGTGGATTAATAGATTAAGAACTTAACCAAAAAGTTGGTTTTGTAAAAAGTATACGCTGAGCGTAGCATTGCGCTACGTTGAGCATAGGGATGAAGGAATTCAACTATTTTGTATTTTAATTCTATGCTAACTGTAGACGAGATACGTTGAGCGTAGGCCTACGTTGAGCGTAGTTATGTCTATGCTAAGCGTAGCGCCAGTCAGTTGATTTTTTAACCAGTTTGAATTTTAGCCAAACTATGATAGAATTAGCTAAGAACTAGTATGGTTTTGGCATTAGGTAGCTTCTGTTAGTTGTTTTGTTGCTGAAGTTTGTTGTTAAGCTTCTGTTATTTAGCTCAGGTGAGTTTTCTCACTATACTTTATACTTCAGTATGTGCCCTTATGTGTAGGACATTTGAATACTATAGTGATCTTGTAGATTGGTAGATCTGTATGATTACATGTATTGTTGGTTATTGCTTATCTGTTTTCATATGCTGACATAGTATGGTTAGGTTGAGGCGGTTTTTTTTTGTGATGTAGGTCAACAATCCCACAAGCGGTCCAACTTTGTACTACAGGAACAGGAGCAATCCAAGTTTATGATGTAGGCTCAGGAGCAGTCCGGTCTTATGTTGAAAGCCTGATGTGCATGCATTGTAAATGTATTGTTATGTGGGGTATTTTAGGTAACCCACTGAGATTTGGCCTACAAATGTCGATTTCAATGTTTTTGGGTACTTCAGTTGACTAGGGCAAGGCAAAGGCATGATCGTACACATCCTCCTACTGAATTATGTTTCAAGAGATTATTTTGATACTTTTGATTTCTATGGATCTGGTTTGAAAACAATGGTAGAATATCTTATGGTTTTTTGAAATCTCACTTTGTAAAATCAAAAATTTGGTCATTGTTTTTGGGATGTTACATGACCACCATAATCCTATATTGCTCTCTGTATGAACCAATTTAGATTACGTTGCCTTCTAGTGTGGTTACCTTCGACAAGCCACAACGATAACAACATCTTATTGATGTCTTTTTGTTGCCATCGCCGGTCGGCTGCTAGCTTCTATCCTCGTTTTCCAACAACCACCTTCGACCCTCATATCCTTTACCGCTATAACACCATCGTTCTCTAATATACCCCATGGTTACTCATTTTTGTGTTGATATTTTTAAACCAAAACATTTTGTTGATTTATTGAAAAACTTGTTCATGTTTATTCATTTATTAACTAAACAAACATAAATGAACTTTTTATCGAACATATCATGGACCGTTTGTTGAACGTTCTGTTCATTCACATTCCATAAACAAAAGAGACCACTATTCGAATCTATATGTTTAACTAAACTAACTAAAAATCTTATTCATATTCATACAATAGTTTATTGGAAGTTGGAAGGCAAATGCAAATTGCCTAATGGCTCAATAATAACCATATCCATAGAGTGTAGAGATGATCAATGTCATCAAATCATTTAACGACTTAACGTCCACCAATCTGAGCAATTGGATAGGAGATGATTCCGGTGATTGAAAAGGCAGTGGCATGCTATCTATTCATGTTTCATCAAACGTCGATACCTGATCTTAAAAGGGAGCTCATCAAGACCTCATTCATCAGGTCACTGGGAATTGGCCTAACACCTTTATCCTCTATGGCTTGGTCATCGACATTTAAACTTAATTTTTCATACTTGTTTGTAAATCGACAACGTATTATGGAGTTTATTTTTATATGCTTGATACTTGTAAATTACCTAGTTACTTACAACCCCCATTTTTGTTTAAATTTTTTTGTGATTTCTTTACTACATTGTTGATATTTATTTTTATTTAGTCCATGGTGAAATTGTATGAATATTTGAGAGTTGATTACAATGGTTAGCTACAGATGCCTATATTCATTTTTTGGTGTTCCTTAATATTGTACTTTCTACACTGGAACTAAATATAATTTCTCTAGAAATAGTAATAAGTAACCATGATTTATTACATAACCTTATTTCAACCTAAGTGTGAAAAACCTAATTCTTGATCTCATACTAATTAAATAAACATGAGTTATCTCTAGAAATATTAAGAGTCTTATCCAAATCTCTATTTATTGAAGAGAACTTGTCAATGTCTATTTTTTCTCTCCTATAGTTGGAAAAATCATCATCAAAGTTCATGGTGATACATTCAAAGAGGAAAAATATTGATTTGTTTAGTGTTCATTGAGTTTGGTAGCTATATACATACTGAAAAATTCTTAGAAGAGCAAAGAGGGGACATGAGTGTTTGTTGATGTGCTTGTGAGTTAAATAAGTTACACATAATCAATATTCTTGATAATGGAAACCTAGGAACCCAATATCATTTGTGTGGGTTTTGTATTTATAAAGACACTAAACTTTGGGTGTGGTACACATATATAGTTGTGTGGATCAATTAAAACAAATAAAATCAATCAGCAAAGAAACATTGTTAACATTTTTTAACCGATTTCAAAGTAACACATCAAAGTGAATGTACATCATATTATATTGTAATTTCATGAAGCCTTGAAACAAGCCAACCCATATTTCACATACACCCAAGACATGTGAGCCACACCCAATTCATATTGGAGTTGCACTATTTTTAACTAAGGCATATCCAAGTTATTAGTTTTAAAATTAATACATGAATGTATTGATCTAAACCTATATATGGACTTCAATAATGTCTCACTTGTGTCATCACTTGTGAATGCATATATTTTTTAGAAAATCGTATTAGTTATCAGTTTGGCCAAATGAGTGGTCAATTCATCCTAATTGATGAAATCAATTACTTGGGCTAGGAATTAAAAGATAACCAAATGCTTTCATATTGATTTTAATTTGAAAATATACTTATCCTAAATCCTAGTATCCTAATCACTTATCCTAATGTTTCTAGTGATATTTTTTTTATAATGCATAATACACAAATATAATTTATTAATTAGCACAATTGAAGTTGTAATGTTTACACGCCACATACAAAGAAAAAGCTTACATGTTAGGTGCTTTTGACCGAAAAATTCCTTTCCTTTCCCAGTTTTTATTGTCCTTTTTTCCATTTCCTAATTTTTGTTTGTATTAATTACATAATCATATATAAGGAGTTGATACAATGTTTCCTTATATATGCCAAAATCTAAGACCTTGGATACCGATTCATTTTTTAAATCTCATAACACTTCCTCAAGAAATACTTGGCATACATGATCTATGATTCTAATACACTGATATTGTAATATTTTTATATTCATCAATCATCATTGCATTTAAATAGATCTTAGGATCTTCAATATTCATGCATTGCAAAAGTGATAGAAATACCAAACTAAAATTCTCTAGCAAATTGAGGTTGTTAGTTTTAACAATCAAAGTTCATAGGATATCCATGAAATACTCCAATAGTTGAATGACTAATAGTGTAAATATGCCCCACTATTTAAACCCTCCCCCAAAATAATCCCCATAAATTTCTAACTCTTTTCCAATTTCATCATTTACTTTTCTATTTTTTCTCCTCCTTTCTTCTCTTTTGGAAAACAAATTAACCATGTCAAACTTATATGGTCAAAACTTCAAATCCTCACCTGCTAGAGCCCCTTCTTCTAAAAACATTTGGGCCAACACAGATGGTGGGAGGTATAATGTTTCTTTCACTTCAAGATTTTATTTTCTTAAAATCCTTTTGTTTAATACCCACTTCAAAATTCTAATTATCATCACTTTTTGAATTTTATATATGTTTTGGTGTTATAATATGCCTCACAGCTCATACCTGGAAAAATTGTTAAAAGAGAAGGAGAAGGTGGCTTTCTATATACATGACATTCCTATCTGCAATAATTTGTTGAATCAAGGTTCGAATCTAATTCTTCAATTTGAGATGTTTTATTGCCTTGTATAAAATTTATTTTTATTTATCTCGATCTTGTAAAAAAAACCTTCACTTTAAGTAAGGATTATTAGATCTTTTATATCCATCTGGTACATGTTTCAAATAATCTTCTAAGGTTATGTTTGGCAGAAAATCTAGTTGGTAGTTGATAGCAAAAAAGTTAGCTTACAAAAAAATGATGTTTGGTAAAAACTATCTGATATACTAGTAGAATATATAGAAGGACATTTAAAAGAATATTTTTTCTATCATTAAATAAGGGTATATTTGGAAAATTTTAAAATCTTAAAAAGTTAGTATAAGTGGCTTTTAAAAAATCTAGCTTATCAACTATTTTTTGGATTGTCAAACATGTTGATTTGAAAAAACTCAAAAATAAGCTAGCTTATCAGCAGGCTGTAGCGTACCAAGCACTACCTAAATGTGTATTGATTTTATGCCTCTAGTGGTCCGTAGTTAGATGATGTGTATATTTAATGAGTAAAATACAATGTCAATGTTTTTTTCATGCTAAGATGATGTGGATATAACCATTACAGTAATATCTACAAACTTTTAGCGGTGGACGGTGGCGGTAAAATGACGTGTATAAAACAACATAGGACCGTATGAAAGCTGTTACATTCTATTTAAAGTACATCTATAGATGGAATATGAACTTTACGAGTCATTTAAGTTAAATAGTATTCTGAAGGAATCAGATATTCGAAGGTCCAACGCCAAGCACATGATAATTGATAGTATTTTTATTGTTATTTTTGTTCTTATTATCTTTCAAGCTATTTAGTTGTTTCATTTTTATGACAATTATTCGTAAATCTATTACAAGTAAATTCTAATTTAATAAATAGGTTCTAATTTCTTTTTGACTTAATGGGTTTGATAAGGTAAACACTTAATTTGGAGAGTTATACATGGTCGTTTCTTTCTAACTTAATCTGGACGGAATGACTAAACTAAAAAAACCCGTCTTAAAGGGATAAGAAAATAAACTTTTATCTATTTTCCTTTCTTCTTTCTTCCTCTCAATTCCTCTCACCTTAAAATTTATGAATATTGTGAAATTTATTTTTTGTGGAATGTAAGGGTAAAATTTCCATTTAGACGGTTTATGTAGACTAAAAAACACCATACCTCATGTATACAACACTCTATTGAGACAAACATCATCACCCATTCATCCACATTACCAATGTAGGAATTGATGTGAAGAAAAAAATAGAAGTTAATTTTCGAGTTTACATTTGGTGTTTATAATCTCATTCAAGTTAACAAATGGATATAGAATATCGATAATTGAACTACTTATGGATTAATAGTAATCCCTTTGGTAAAATAACTAACCTTTAACCCATAATTTTGATTATAAACTTTACCATATTCTTAAAAGAAAATTTGCTAACTATGAACAGCATTATTACTTTATTTTATCAACAGAGATATTGAAGATTTCTGAGATGATACCCAACAAGGGTTATAATGACTTTGACAGACTGCAGCTTGGAAGCTCGAGTCATTCGAATCATAATTTAGATCATTGGGATAGAAATTCTCATCTTCAACAACAGGTGAACATACATTTGTGCTAATATGGTATTCTTTTTATTTTTCTTATTCATCGCAAAAGTATAATATGATAATATTTATCATCTCTTCTCTTTTGTAGTGTTAAGTTGACTTGATTAACATATAAGTATTATAACGTATATCTAGTATTTAAAAGTCTAATCTTGATTTAGGATTCCTCTTTCTATAATCAATCCTTAGGATCTTGTTATATTTTTCAGTTAGAAGTACAACATGCATCAATATGTCACCAATAAAAATATTACTTTTTAAATTTTTAGGTTTCCTTTTATATATTATATGTATTAATATTTATCCATTCTAAAATTTAAGATACAAGTGTTGCTTGTATAGAAAAAGAAAAAAGAGGAATTTAGAAGTTGGAATGACCATTGCTTTGATCTTATTTCAAGTTTATACCTACATAGACTCTAATGCTTCTAATGAAACACCACAACATCAATATATAACTTTTTACAAGTTTTGCCTCATTTATTTTTCAATCCATTTATTTAAAATTTTGTAAACATGATTTATACGTACAACAACATTACAGGGATCTCCATTTGGTCATAGTCCAAGTTCCTTACTTACAAAGAAGTTGGTGCGCTTGGATGTGCCTGTTGATAGATTTCCTGGTGTAAGTTATAAAATTTGATTTACTTGCATATTTAAAAAAGATAGAAAATGTTTATTAAACTTTTTTTCTCTTGGATATCAGTTCAACTTTGTGGGTAGGCTTCTAGGTCCTAGAGGCAACTCCTTGAAGCGAATAGAAGCTCTCACAGGATGTCGTGTCTTCATTAGAGGAAGGGGTTCCATGAAAGACCCCGACAAGGTACAACTCCAAATATCAAAGCATTCATCATAAAGCACAAAAAACTTTAAAAACCTTAGCATTATTATTATTACTTGCATAATTTTATTCCAGTTTTAATCAAGTGTTTTAACATACGCTCTTGATTAAAACTCTTTCCTGTAAATTATTATTTCCCTCATGAAAAGATCAATAACTACTTGATTTATACCTTTATTTTTTATTTAAAGACATAGTACTTTGAAAATTCTACCTAACTATATAATTGTACTTTTGATTTTTTTCTCTCTTATTAAGACATTATTCTTTGAAAAATCTATCTAATTGTATCAGTAAAAATTGCTTTGTACTAAGATGACATTGCTACATATGGGTAGATTATTTAAACTATAATATTGTAATAGGGAAGAAGTTAAAGTAGGATGCTATAACAAACAAATCAATGAAAGTATGTTGTTATTCCTTGCAATGTAACTCTTTTAGAAAACCATAAAAATTTAATTCCTATTTTATCTATTTTGATAACATTCAACCGTTAAGGAGGAGCGTTTGAGGGGAAGACCCGGCCATGGGCACCTTAATGAACCACTTCATATACTGATTGAGGCTGAATCACCTGCAAATGTTGTTGATGTAACACTCAGACAAGCACAGGAAATCATCCAAGAATTGCTCAAACCTGTGGTATGTTTTCAATACTGATATTAGTATCAATGTCATTTTCAGTGTCAATATCAGTTTGCTAACCATATTTTACTTGTTCCGATTACAAGACTTATTCTGTGGATGTATACAAAAGGCAACAGTTACGAGAACTAGCTACGTTGAATTCACTCTTTGGAGAAGAAACCTCTCGACCTAGTAGTAGTACATCTCCATGCGGGCGTGGCGCAATGAAGCGCACCACAACCACTAGGAAAGGGACCATATAGTCCTTTTTCTCATGCATAGGGTACAACTGGTTGATGCATGCTTGTTATCGAGTGGTCAGTTTCTACAATCTATTTTGAAAAAAAAAACAAGTAAAGGATCTATGTAGTATGTAAGGATTTTGTTCACATTTCTTTTCCTTTTCTTTTATTTTTAGTGTCGTTATGTTTTCTTGGTGTTGTTCGGTCTTTTGAACCCTTATTGATTGTTTTTTTTGGTTGTTGCTTGTGTTATGCATTATAAGCTACATGTTTGTTTTTTGTGATGTATATATTGTGTACCAAAAATAGTATTTAGCTTGTATATAAGGTTGTGTTTGTACAGACGAGAGAGAAGTCTATCCCCGCCTTTTTCCCGTTGTTTGTGTGAGACAAAAAAACCCCATTGACATAACTTATAGTCTGAGATTATGCCAAACAAAATGAACAATGTGCATGTTATATCATGCTTTCTCATGTGTAAAAAATGTGGTGTGGACCAATCTGGTAGGTAAAGGGTTGTGTATATGAGAATGATTGATCGATCAAATATCTAGTTGGGTTTTTTTTCAAAAATTGTTTCAAAAACATAAACATAGTAACAAAAGACTTAAGATGTAAAAAAAATAAAACTAGTTTTATTCACACCAAAAGATCATTTTGCAAGATTTAGAAAGATTAAAACAACCTTTGAAGACTTTGGTTCCTCTTGGTAATTAGGAAGTTGTTGAATATGACTTTAAGCTCCAAGGAAAAAGCTCTCTAGAAGTATCCCACCAACATTTAGCCAACTTCATTAGATGCTAGTCTTCATCTTGTAATAAAAGAATCTAGTAAGCCTTTAAGAACAAAACAAGGCTTTTGTTCTAAAAGATAGGTTCAAGTAAAGTATCATAATTCTTCTTACTTTGATATTAACACTATAAGAAACAAAAAAAGAGAGAATATGGAGAAAGGAAGGAATAAATTTGGTGGTTTTTGGCTTATGAAAGAAAGGAGAAAACTAGTTCTTTTAAGTCAATAGTTTAAGTCTTTATCCTATGGTTTTAGCACTTTAAGACTCATGTTTTATCAAATCAACTAGCCATGATTGATAAGAGCATGGTGTGTTGAATAAATTAATCAAAAGCACGTCTTCTTTCTTCTTTATTGTCTTCTTGAATATTTTATGAAAAGAAGAAGTTATTTTTTCTATAAACACTCTTCTAATTTTTATAATTTATAAAACATATAAATCCATATGAGACAAAAAACCCTTTTTGGTCCAAAAAGATGTACATGACATAATAAATCATACCTTATGATATATTTTGATACTTCACATTTAAAATTAATATTTCCAATTAATTAAAAAGAATTATATTTATTTATCAATGATCAAATTATTATAAATAATTTATGTGCATCAACTTGTTGTTACTGTGACCATTTAGGATCATATATTATCTAGAAATATCATTATGTAATGACTCTAATACATATTCATCTTCAATCTCCTACTTGTACAAGACTCCTCATAGATTGATATAGATAATGGTGAACATATAGCAACATTTCACTGTCCCCAATCATTATATACTTATAAAGGAAGCATTTTTCCAAGCACCACATTCACCTGAAACTCCCATGTATTTTTCCTTTCACCACATTCATTTGAAACTCCCATGACTTTTTAATTTCTTTCTAATAATAATTATAATTTGGTTAATTAAGTTAAATAAATATCAAACCTAAAGTGTAATCATATATAAACTAATTTTCAATATTAAAATAATATCTCTACTTCTACTTATAAAGTTATGTTTTTTAACTTTTAACATATTATATTTTATTTATTAATTTTAATATACTGTTGGATGTAAACCATTAGAATTTTAAAGATACAATTTTGGAAAAATTTGTATAAAATACTTAAATTATTAATTTAAATATAATATTACATTATCAACTTAAATATAAATTTTAGTTTAACTTAAATAACCCAAAAAATATTTTGTAAATAGTTAAAAATGATAAATTGAAGTCTCTTTCTAATAATGATTATACGTTAGTTAATAAGGTTAAATAAATATCAAACCTAAAGTGTAGTCATAAATAAACTAAATTTCAATTTTAAAATAATGTCTTTACTTCTACTAATAAAGTTATATCTTTAACTTTTAACATATTATACCTAATTTATTAGATTTAATATGTTGCTATGTGTAAACTCTTATCAGTTTAAAACTACAACTTTTGAATAGTTTGGACAAAATACTTAAATTGTTAACTTAAATATAACATTACAATGTCAACTTAAATATAAATTTCAGTTCCACTTAAAAAGCCAAAAAATAAATTGTAAATAGTTAAAAGTGATAAATTATAGTGATAAATGGAAAACACTAAATTGTAATATCAGTTTAACTAAAATATTTTTATAATTGTTAAAAGTTTTCAAATAAGTAGCTTAAAATAAATTACATCAACAATAGTTAAAAATAACTTTATATAAATGATTATATTGTTATCTTTAAAATTAAAAAACAATGCTTGATATTTTAAATAATTATAATGATAGAAAATAAAACATTAAAAAAATAAATTTTATAAAATTAATTAACAATAACAACAACTATAAATTACATTAAACCATATATTATATGTTATTTTACTGATAAGTAACTCGCAGGTAGAATTCGTTTAAACGATTGAGATTATGCAATTATGAAAGATGTATATATTATCATATAATTCAAAATAATCAATATATTATATCTATTTAGTATATGAATTATTATATCAAATTTAACAACGATGTTATTGTTATATTTAAAAAAACATATATTTTTAAAGACTTCAACTATATAGGTGTTTCTATTCATTACAATGTCAACTTAAATATAAATTTCAGTTCCACTTAAAAAACCAAAGAATATATTGTAAATAGTTAAAAGTGATAAATTGTAGTGATAAATGCAAAAACTAAATTGTAATCTCAATTTAACTAAAATATTTCCTAAAATTATTTTTATAATTGCTAAAAGTTTCCAAATAAGTAGCTTAAAATAACCTACAATAACAATAGTTAAAAATAACTCCATATAAATGATTATATTGTTACCTTTAAAATCAAAAAGTAATGTTTGATGTTTTAAATAATTATAATGATAGAAATTAAAACATTAAGCAAATAAATTTTACAAATTAATTAACAATAACAACAATAATAAATAACGTTAAAATATATATTATATTTAGTTTTATTCATGTGTAACTTGCAAGTAGAAGTCATTCAAACGATTGACATTATTAAGTTATAATAGATGTATATATTATCATATAATTCAAAATAGTCAATATATTATATCAATTTAGTATACAAATTATTATATCAAATTTAACAACATCGTTATTGTTAGATTAAAAACAAAACATATATTTGCAAAGACTTCAACTATATAGGTGTTTTTGCGCAACGCGCGGGCATTCGTCTAGTAATATATGACTTAGTGCCATTCTATCAACATCCAATTCCCAAAAGCTCAAAGCTTCAACTAATGTATAATGTAAGTCAATCAATTATCCCTTTGTTATAAACATCCTATTAAAAATTAGATTTGCATCGCAATCAATCTCATTTGATGTTCAAATTTGGGTAACATGTGTTAGATGTGTTGCTCTCAACACATAAGAGGAACAAATTCCATATTGACTACATAATCTTTTTTGTATAGTTCACATCATACTTGAAAATGGATTTTATAACTACCCGGTTAAGGATCAGCATTTTAACATGCACAACACTCCCTACACACACACACACACACACACACATATATATATATATATATATCATTATGTATCTTAGTTGTTAAGGATACAAAGATAGTACCTTTTAATTAAGTATCACTTATAACTTCAATATATGAGATTATCTTAATGTGGGTTTTTTCAATACTAGTGTCACACCCCAAAACCGGAACGGCGGAAACGTTCTGGGGTGGAGGACGTCATGTACAGTATCATAACAATGCAATATAGTAAATTAAGCAACAACATCCATTGCATTAAATAGTATAGTTAATACAAATATGTTCTTTGTAAAGTTAAATGACACAAAAAATGAATGTGTATCAAAAGAATGAGACGAGTCTTGAATAAATTCCGCCTTCGCAAAACTTGGCCATCTGTACCTTTCTATTGGTGACCTGAGGATACAAGTTATTTTGAAAGAGTAGATCAGTATTTAAGTTGGTGAGTTCATAAGTAGTTTAGTGTCATTAAGTGGTATTTAATTCATAAAACGGTTTATGGTTGTATCATAAAAAGGTTTGTTTGTTTTCCCAGAAAATCCTATAGTTTCTGCTTGTAATGAAAATGTAGTCTCCTACCAAGATTGTTTCCTTTGTTTGTTCCTTTAGAGTGATGTAAATAAAATGCTTATACTAATGAATGATAGTAAATATTAGTTTACCACCTTATAACCGGTTTGGTTAATTTAGATGAAAATGTGATAGAGTTATAACCATGTTTGATCGACCTAGTGTACATACACGACGTTTTTCGGACGTTGAAAAGGTATGACATTTGTTCACCCGTGGACCTGCAGATCCCACTGTAGCTAGCAGCGACGTAACGCCCGTAGATCCGGGCTAGTCAAATTAGAGACGATAAGCATCAAAAATGACTTTTTGATGTAATATTATTTATAAGGATTAATCTTAACCAAGTTTTATTATATGTCACAAGGTTTCCGTGCATATAAAGAACGCCACAATCCGAGTTATAACGAAGAAGTTATGACTTGTCGAAGTTTCGCGACAGAACCGGCATGACCCAGCGCGACATAAATAGTGAATTTAAGGTAGATAGATATATATCCTTAGTGATCTAAACGAGAGTCAAATATTTCTTCGATAGTAGTCCAACGATAAAAAGACAGACGAAAACGGAGTTCAGATGAAGGAGTTATGAATTTCGAACGGAGTTTTCCTGTACCGGCCTATTAAAGATAATATATATGTAATATACTTATAATATAT